CACACACTCAATCAAACAGACTCCAACCTCTCCACAATGGCCAAGACCAGAGAGCTGTGTAAGGACATCAGGGATAAAATGGTAGACCTGCACAAGGCTGGGATGGGCTACAGGACAATAGGCAAGCAGCTTGGTGAGAAGGCAACAACTGTTGCCGCAATTATTAGAAAATGGAAGAAGTTCAAGATGACGGTCAATCACTCTCGGTCTGGGGCTCCATGCAAATCTCACCTCGTGGGGCATCAATGATCATGAGGAAGGTGAGGGATCAGCCCAGAACTACACGGCAGGACCTGGTCAATGACCTGAAGAGAGCTGGGACCACAGTCTCAAAGAAAACCATTAGTAACACACTACGCCGTCATGGATTAAAATCCTGCAGCGCACGCAAGGTCCCCCTGCTCAAGCCAGCACATGTCCAGGCCCGTCTGAAGTTTGCCAATGACCATCTGGATGATCCAGAGGAGGAATGGGAGAAGGTCATGTGGTCTGATGAGACAAAAATAGAGCTTTTTGGTCTAAACTCCACTCGCCGTGTTTGGAGGAAGAAGAAGGATGAGTACAACCCCAAGAACACCATCCCAACCGTGAAGCATGGAGGTGGAAACATCATTCTTTGGGGATGCTTTTCTGCAAAGGGGACAGGATGACTGCACCACATTGAGGGGAGGATGGATGGGGCCATGTATCGCGAGATCTTGGCCAACAACCTCCTTCCCTCAGTAAGAGCATTGAAGATGGGTCGTGGCTGGGTCTTCCAGCATGACAACGACCCGAAACACACAGCCAGGGCAACTAAGGAGTGGCTCCGTAAGAAGCATCTCAAGGTCCTGGAGTGGCCTAGCCAGTCTCCAGACCTGAACACAATAGAAAATCTTTGGAGGGAGCTGAAAGTCCGTATTGCCCAGCGACAGCCCCGAAACCTGAAGGATCTGGAGAAGGTCTGTATGGAGGAGTGGGCCAAAATCCCTGCTGCAGTGTGTGCAAACCTGGTCAAGACCTACAGGAAACATATGATCTCTGTAATTACAAACAAAGGTTTCTGTACCAAATATTAAGTTCTGCTTTTCTGATGTATCAAATACTTATGTCATGCAATAAAATGCAAATTAATTACTTTAAAATCATACAATGTGATTTTCTGGATTTTTGTTTTAGATTCCGTCTCTCACAGTTGAAGTGTACCTATGATAAAAAAATTACAGACCTCTACATGCTTTGTAAGTAGGAAAACCTGCAAAATCGGCAGTGTATCAAATACTTGTTCTCCCCACTGTAGATTTTACACAGAATGCAGTTTGTTGTCAAGAAAGAGTACGGGAGACGAGGGATGGTTGTAACACTTTTTGCATTTTTGTCAATTTCTCAGAGATTGTTTGAGCTACAACATTTAAAATGTGATACAAACAACTTCCATTTGTCTGCTGCAAATTGTTATAGGTATCATCTCACCAAATCAAACAGACAGGGTGTGACTTTGTCTCAAATACATGGAGTGGAATGTTACAATTTACCCCACCTCCCAGGTCAGTTGTAACAGAGATTGTGGTGAAATATAACAGTTTGAAAATATAGATAAATCATGACACGCAACAAAATATTGAAGGTCTTTATTGAGAACATGAGAACAACCTTGCCATGTTTAACATTTTGTGTGGCAGAAATAATTTCATAATAATACAAATATTTTTTTTATTTTTTTATCCTTATTCTAAAATTGATTAAATCGTTTTTTTCCCTCATCAATCTACACACAATACCCCATAATGACAAACCAAAAACAGGTTTTTAGACATTTTTGCACATGTATTAAAATTAAAAAACAGAAATATCACATTTACATAAGTATTCAGACCCTTTACTCAGTACTTTGTTGAAGCACCTTTGGCAGCGATTACAGCCTCGAGTCCTCTTGGGTATGACGCTACAAGCTTGGCACACCTGTATTTGGGGAGTTTCTCCCATTCTTCTCTGCAGATCCTCTCAAGCTCTGTCAGGTTGGATGGGGAGTTTCGCTGCACAGCTATTTTCAGGTCTCACCAGAGACGTTCGATCAGGTTCAAGTTCGGGCTCTGGCATGCACTGTCAACTGTGGGACCTTATATAGACAGGTGTGTGCCTTTCCAAATCATGTCCAATCAATTGAATGTACCAAAGGTCGACTCCAATCATGTTGTAGAAACATCTCAAGGATGATCAATGGAAGCATGATGCACCTGAGCTCAATTTCGAGTCTCGTATGTAAATAAGGTATTTCTGTTTTTTATTTTTTTTATAAATTTGCAAAAAAAATCTAAAAACCTGTTTTTGCTTTGTCATTATGGGTTATTGTGTGTAGATTGATGAGGAAAAATGTTTATTTTGTCAATTTTAGAATAAGGCTGTAAAGTAACAAAATGTCTATCACAGGTTCTTGCTTCTTCACCAGGGCTGAAGACTAAACTGAGCATGTGCACAGTGAGTCACATGATTCTAGCTTGTTCCTGATTGGAGATATTGAAAGTGTTACAACTATCCTGTGTTACAACCATCCTTGGTCTCCCCTACTTATTGAGCTACTATAGGCCAATCAAAATATCAAATTTGTCTAAATAAACTATTCTTGGCATCAACCCATCTGATGCTCCTACAATGAAACAAGGCCCATCCATAGAAGAGTATGAAACACCCACTACAGTGTCAATTACGTCACTGAGAGTCAACTGCTAAATACTATATTTTATGGAGTATGATATGCTTTCAGAGCCCAGAAAGGCCATTTCTCAATTTTCTGTAGCCACATAATACAAAGTAAATATAGATTTGTTTAAAGTGGAAACTGCAATGGATAAAACTGTGCTGCCATACAATAAGAAGCCATTGATTTAACACATTAAGTAGATTATTAAAGTTGGCTGTGTCGAAGACTTTAACAGCCAACCAGCTCTATCAGCAGTCAGTGGAGCTCCTTTGTGTGTCAACAAGGAAAGGAGCCAAGTCCAGCTAAAGGCTATAGAGAAACTTGCATTTCCCTTCCAACTGGTTCATTTACTGCATGCATCACTTGCATATTATTCTACCAGGACAAAAAAAGAAACGGTTATTTTCAGCAAACTTCACATGTTTAAATATTTGTATGAACATAACAAGATTCAACAACTGAGACATAAACTGAACAAGTTCCACAGACATGTGACTAACAGAAATGGAATAATGTGTCCCTGAACAAAGGGGGGTCAAAATCAAAAGTAACAGTCAGTATCTGGTGTGGCCACCAGCTGCATTAAGTACTGCAGTGCATCTCCTCCTCATGTACTGCACCATATTTGCCAGTTCTTGCTGTGAGATGTTACCCCACTCTTCCACCAAGGCACCTGCAAGTTCCCTGACATTTCTGGGGGGAATGGCCCTAGCTCTCACCCTCCGATCCAACAGGTCCCAGACGTGCACAATGGGATTGAGATCTGGCCTCTTCGCTGGCCATGGCAGAACACTGACATTCCTGACTTGCAGGAAATCACGCACAGAACGAGCAGTATGGCTGGTGGCATTATCATGCTGGAGGGTCATGTCAGGATGAGCCTGCAGGAAGGGTACCACATGAGGGAGGAGGATGTCTTCCCTGTAACGCACAGCGTTGAGATTGCCTGCAATGACAACAAGCTCGGTCCGATGATGCTGTGACACACCGCCCCAGACCATGACGGACCCTCCACCTCCAAATCGATCCCGCTCCAGAGTACAGGCCTCGGTGTAACGCTCATTCCTTCGACGATAAACGCAAATCCGACCATCACCCCTGGTGAGACAAAACCGCGACTCGTCAGTGAAGAGCACTTTTTGCCAGTCCTGTCTGGTCCAGCGATGGTGGGTTTGTGCCCATAGGCGACGTTGTTGCCGGGGATGTCTGGTGAGGACCTGCCTTACAACAGGCCTACAAGCCCTCAGTCCAGCCTCTCCCAGCCTATTGCGGACAGTCCGAGCACTGACGGAGGGATTGTGCGTTCCTGGTGTAACTCGGGCAGTTGTTGTTGCCATCCTGTACCTGTCCCGCAGGTGTGATGTTCGGATGTAACGATCCTGTGCAGATGTTGTTACACGTGGTCTGCCACTGCGAGGACGATCAGCTGTCCGTCCTGTCTTCCTGTAGCGCTGTCTTAGGCTTCTCACAGTACGGACATTGCAATTTATTGCCCTGGCCACATCTGCAGTCCTCATGCCTCCTTGCAGCATGCCTAAGGCACGTTCACGCAGATGAGCAGGGGCCTTGGGCATCTTTCTTTTGGTGTTTTTCAGAGTCAGTAGAAAGGCCTCTTTAGTGTCCTAAGTTTTCATAACTGTGACCTTAATTGCCTACCGTCTGTAAGCTGTTAGTGTCTTAACGACCGTTCCACAAGTGCATGTTCATTAATTGTTTATGGTTCATTGAACAAGCATGGGAAACAGTGTTTCAACCCTTTACAATGAAGATCTGTGAAGTTATTTGGATTTTTATGAATTATCTTTGAAAGATAGGGTCCTGAAAAAGGGACGTTTCTTTTTTTGCTGAGTTTAGCATCCAACACGTCTGATTGCAACACTCACAGCAATTCAGATGCTTTAGAGAGTTTCAGTGAATGGCAACATTCAGTATCAGGCATTCATTCATTCGCTCTTGGACGGTTTTCTATTGAAATGCAAAATGGCTGATTTACAACCAACTAAAATTCAAAAACACATTGAAAAACATACATACTAAAAATGTAGCCTACTACTTCAAGGATGCTAAATTGGTATTATACGTTAATCTGGATGTGAACAAACGCTGCTTGTCCGCTAAACTGTAAAAACCATGATTCAGACCCCGTTGATGTACTTTTCCACAGCATATATGAACTAAATCTGTCTGAGACTGAGGGTTTTGGTTTGGATCATTCCCCAATGCTGGCCTCCTCTCTTCACCCTCTACAGTACTTGCATGTAACCATGGTGTTATTTTCGTGAGTGCAGAGTGTGGACTTAATCAATGCCCTTGGTTATTTCTCTGGTTTACAGGGTGAGAGGAGAGAGGGCAGAGATGGTCATACTCTTAGCATGGGGTAGAGTAGGAACAAGGACTCCTCTGTTTTCTGTTTTATACTTACTAAATGTACCCAATGAAAACGGTTTAGAAGCTACTGCCTTTCCTGAGGAGAGCACTTCATGAGGTAGGGGCTAATTTAATCAGCAGATAATGTTATGCAGTTGGAAATATAATAATGATGAGGAGTTATAAGTAAATTAAGATGAGTGCTTTTTGAGGTCGGTTCGATAATAAAAAAATTATAGTGGTTTTCGATTTCGGTTTCGAAATCTTTGCAATAATTGGGTTATGGTAATATAATTGAAATGCAAATAATACTGAATCTATTTAAAGCACAATGTTTAATTTAGTGGCATAAACTGCATAGCAAATAGGCTGAATATCCACCAATCTTTAAAATAACAGATGAATGCAATATTTATTTGGATGGGGAAATTTAAATGAGTGATTCTGTAAAAAAAAAAAAAGATGTCCAGTATCAATTTTGTTGCAAATTGAAAAATGTTATACCCTGAGAGGACGTCCTAATTATGCTAGGATCAAATTCTACAATCAACAACATCATAACACTATGTGAATCAGGGCCGTAGTTAAGTTAAAGTGCCTTCAGAAAGTATATACACCCCTAGACTTTTTCCACATGTTGTCGCGTTACAGCCTGACTTTAAAATGGATTAAATTGAGATTATTTTGTCAGTAGCCTTCAGAAAATACCTTATAATGTAAAAGTGGAATTATACAAATTAATTTTTAAAAAGTCATAAAATATTTAAAGTTGAAATGTCTTGAGTCAATAAATATTCAACCCCTTTGTTATGGCAAGCCTAAATAAGTTCAGGAGTAAAAATGTGCTTAAAAAGTCACATAATAAGTTGCATGGACTCACCCTGTGTACAATAATAGTGTTTAGAATTATTTTTGAATGAGTACCTAATTTCTGTAACCCACACATACAATTAACTGTAAGGTCCCTCAGTCGAGCAGTGAATTTCAAACACAGATTCATCCACAAAGAGCAGGGAGGTTTTCCAATGCCTCGCAAAGAAGGGCACCATTTAGTAGATACAATTAAAGCAGACATTGAATATCCATTTGAGCATGGTGAACTTATTAATTACACTTTCAATGGTTTATCAATACACCCAGTCACTACAAAGATACAGGCGTCCTTCCTAACTCAGTTGCCGGAGGGGAAGGAAACCACTCAGGAATTTCAACATTAAAACAGTTACAGAGTTTAATGGCTGTGATAGGAGAAAATTGAGGATGGATCAACAACATTGTAGTTACTCCACAATACTAACCTAATTGACAGAGTGAAAAGAAGGACATCTGTACGGAATGAAAATATTCCAAAACATGCATCCTGTTTGCAACAACACACTAAAGTAATACTGCAAAAAAATGTGGCAAAGCAATTCACTTTTTGTCCTGAATACAAAGTGTTATGTTTGGGGCAAATCCAATACAACACATTACTGAGTACCACTCTACCTATTTCCAAGCATAGTGGTGGCTGGTTTCAGGATAAAAAGAAACGTAATGGAGCTAAGCACAGGCAAAATCCTAGAGGAAAACCTGGTTCTGTTTGCTTTCCACCAGACACTGGGATATGAATTCACTGTTCAGCAGGACAATAACCTAAAACACAAGGTCAAATCTACACTGGAGTTGATTGCCAAGAAGACAGTGAATGTTCCTGAGTGAAAAATCTATGGCAAAATCTGAAAATGGTTGTCTAGCAATGATCAACAACCAGCAGCTTGAAGAATTTTGAAAAGAATAATGGGCAAATGTTGCACAATCCAGGTGTGGAAAGCTCTTAGAGACTTACCCAGAAAAACTCACAGCTGTAATCACTGCCAATAGTGTTTATACCAAGTATTGACTCAGGTGTGTGAATACTTAGTAAATGAAATATTTCTGTTTTTAATTTTCAATAAACTTGCTAAAATGTCTAAAAACTTTTTCACTTCATCATTTTGGGGTATTGTGTGTAGATTGGTGTTTAATCCATGTTGAATTCAGGCTGTAACACAACACAATGTGGAATAAGTCAAGGGGTATGAATACTTTCTGAAGGAATAGTGAGGACACCGTGGTCTGGACCTCTGTAATTTTTTCTAATTAAAAATATATATATATAAATGAGTCTAGTTAGTTTAGCCAGCTATCTGAACTTTTAGTAATCATGGCCGAATTACGTGCCCAGGGACCCTGACCTCCAGGGGGCCCCCATTGATTTTATTAGTCACTCTCACTCAGATATCATATCTCTTAAATGTAATCTAAAATGTAATCTATGTAATCTCCAAAAGTAATTATTTATCATTAGAGGGCTATAAACAATAACTAGTAATGATGCATACTCCAAGAACGGTTAAAATATCACCTTTCTGATAAAAATAGTTATAAATTGCTGAGGTGTAATCACTTTTGAGGACATAAGCTCAAGTACACAATAGAAATATGATAAAAATATGATTCTTATTTTGTCTGTATTTCCTATTCAACAAAACTGTGTGATAAGGCTTGAAATATAGTATAATTAAATTATAAAACGAATAACTATAAGATTTCACCTTCCTTATTACTGTAAAAATATATATTTGTATGTCTAGTGTTAGAGAAAATGTGCAGGACTCTCTTGATCAAAACGTCTGCCCCCTCCGCTGTGAACGTCACACGAGAGAGCTCTAGCTTGGCTTCCTAAACTCGTTAGGAACTCGCCTTTTATCTTATTATTGTCTGTCTAGGACAAACAGAAAGTGTTTTTTGTTTAAAAACTATTCATATTTTTAGATTACTGTGATAAAGTTGGTTATAAATCGATCTCTGAATGTGCTCGAGCGACGAAACCGCTCTATCCTGCTGCGCTACGATTTAAGGATTTTAAGGCATGTGCTTTGTTAGTGGCTGTGATGTATGGTCTAGCTAGGAGTTGCTGGACAGTCAGAAGAGCGAATAATGGTAGGAGGGACGGCCCAGCTTCAAGTGGTGTCAGATTTCACATCTTAAACAAAGATTATGGATATACTGACAAGATACATGTCTCTCCGCCCTAACAGTGGGAGTCGTTGTCCACAAAGCTACGCGGTGGGCTGGCTAGATCCCGCCTATCCTTTCTTTGGATTGGTGGATACATCTCATTATTGTAATCTCGTTTTAAATTCGATTAGGGTTGCTGACGTCACCGTCTGTATTCAATGGAGACAGATACTACGCTACTAGCCTCATGCAATGAATATGCATAGCCAGCTCGAGACAATTCCCATATAAGGTGCTTTTTCTCAAAATTGCCGGGATGTCACGTGTCCTACTTATATCAATACACTCATAACAACTTAAGCATTAGGAAACTATTATTCGATTAAATAAAACTCACGTATCAAATAAGCCATTATTTTTTTGGGTTGACCAAATTCGACACTCTTGGTGGGCGAAACAACGTAAAACGCCACCTGCTGAAGGGAGACAGATTTTCCGCCGAGTTGGGCCTCTCTATTCCTCTTCATCTCTGTCCTAAATTACACAAGCGGAAGAGATACACTCATAAATCCTTGATAACCAGGGCTACCGCTCGATGCAAGACATTTCGATTAAAATTTCCTCAGATCCATTTTATAAGCGAAAATGTCGAAACGGTACCAGAACCACGCAGATCCTATATACAGGGGATTTATATCTTTAACATGGCATAAATCATGTCAAAATGTGTAAAATTACAGGAAATTAGCTTTTAAAACTGCAAACACTTCTCCCCACCCCATGGCAAAATGTGTAGAATTGCAGGAAATTAGCTGTAAAACTGCAACAAAAAGTTCTGTAAAGCAAAACATATTTGTTTACCTTTTGTTAATAAAATAACAAATATTCTAACAGATCCCTCAGTACATATTTACGTTTTTAATCCCGGTGCTGTTAATGTGAGTTAATGTAGTGGCTAATTGTATAGCTAATAGGCTATGTGTTTGTCGATCAACTGAGGTAAATGAAGCTACAGCAACCAATGTGATAATGGCTGGGTTCATTTTTGCCTGTATTTGCTGTTCTCCAAATAGCATTTTAGATTTTTTTTAAAATTGTATAGAAATGCAATAAATTGACTTAAACTTTCAAAAAATATCCATCCACCCCCTCTTGACCTCACTCAAACTCAGACCCTGCCTACGGCCCTGATGGGAATAGATTTTTATGGTTTGGATTTGTATTTAAGGTTCAAATGTATTTATATATTAATGATTGGGGTGCCCTTGGAGACATTATAACTAATTATATACATTATTTATTTCGTCCTATTTACAGCTTGATCAAAATGAAGGCACTTCTCATTGCTGCTATTCTCTTGGTTGGACTATTGGCAATGGGCAGCGAGGCCATTCCATCAAACCGCTGGTCCTGCTACAAGAAAGTCTTGAAGGACAGGGACTGTCGCAATATCGGCATCACCAACGGAGTTGCGACCATGCGACCCATCGATTCCCTGCAGAACCATTTCTGGGAGGGGAACAAATGCGACATGGTGTGCTACTGTAACTTCAGTGAGCTTCTCTGCTGCCCAAGGTACAGAAATTCCATTCTCCGCCAGTAGGCGGCGCCCATCATCAGCACACATACACAGTCTATGTTAATACCGTTCTGGGACAGTGGATGGCTCTGTGGTACTGTTATGTGCACTGGAGGCCGAATCGAGGCCGGCGGGCAGTTAGGCGCCAATTATAGTTGGGAACGAATTGGATCCAGTCACAGGCTGCCCAGTGAACACTGCCTACATTGTGGTTATCATAAGCCACCTATTAATACAGTCAGGCACGTGTGCCTGCTGCCCTGCAGTGAGCTGTGGTGTGGAGTTGACTTCTGTTTCTTTCACTGGTCAGTTAAAAGGTCGTTCATGCTGTTTTTACGTCATCTCCTTTGCTCATGTAATGCAAATACACTATGGCTAGGCCTATACATGTTGGCTCTGTTTTTAGTCAGCTGTTGAGTACAGAGAAGTGTTTTTCCTTTAAAAGGCACTATATGCTTGGAATCCAAACTCGGAGTTAATCAGTTTGCGAACACAGTTTATCCGTTTATCAATTGAAAAGAATGCCATTCTTGACTAGATGCTTCCTTCATTAACTAGGCCATTTTCTCCTGAACCACATGGTCCATCCACTAGAAACTCATGGACAGCTTACCATAGCCTTGGATTCCAGGCTAATAGGGCAATATACTAAACACATGTTTTTATTTTTATGTTGTTCCAGGGATGTCTTCTTTGGACCCAAAATCTCCTTTATAATTCCATGCAAACCCATCTGAGCCATCAGTCGTTTGAATGGACAGTGAACACGGACGGTGCAATCTTCTGAATGGAAACAATGAGAGAGTAAATGGGGCCAAGGGTGATGGGCCCATCCAATCCAGACAGGGTTACATGCATTTCATTCTTCACTTCAAGACTGCTACACAACTACAGATTCAGAAGGCTGGACCTAAAGCAAAAGCACAAGCTTTGAAGCTGGAAAAAATGAGGCCCCCCCTTTCACAATACTTGGGCCTACAAATAAAATGCATTATTTTCAGTTTCAAATACAGCAGCTAGTATATTTATTATCTGTGAAGACAATTCAATAAATGCAGCCTGTGTCCCTCCTTTGCCAAGGCTACAGTTCAACACTTGTATATCTGACTTGGCAGACCCTTACTTTGGCATTCGCAATGATGTGACACTCCCCCATTATCTACGCCCAAACGTAAACAGATCTCACTATTTGGCAATAGTAGTAGTTATTGTACATCTAAAACTATTATTCAATAGTAAATACTATGCCATTCATGAGAGACATTCCATTTTATATTCAAGGCTATTAAATGCAGTAAATGTCCGCAGGATCATAAAATGTGATGTTGTGATTTACATTTACATTTTAGTCATTTAGCAGCCGCTTTTATCCAGGGCGACTTACAGTTAGTGAGTGCATACATTTTCATACTGGCCCCCCGTGGGAAACGAACCCACAACACTGGCGTTGCAAGCGCCATGCTCTACCAACTGAGCATGATTTTATATGGATGAAACATGTAGGCTGTACAACTGTATTGTAAATGTGTTTGCAAAAAGATTATAGTATTGTGTGTGTTAAATGTCTTACTAGGCCTAACTAACATAGCACTATAGATAACCTAGACCGGTGGAGCTGTTTTAACAAGTTGTTCTACTGCTCCATGACATCTCCTTGTACTTATCCAATGATTTTGTATCAATTACAACACTGTATGTGAGAATATTAATAAACAGATCGGTTTGAGTGTTATTTTGCCTGCAGGCCTTACTTGGCATATTATGAAACCACCTTTGGAACTGAATTAAGGCTCTTGAGTGGGTAAGATTTATTTACGGATTCACTGTTATTCTCCTATTCTATACAGTCACTGATAATAGAGTCCAGTGACTGTAGAATAGGCCCATAGTGAAGGATGTCAAATCGCACAAGGGGTACAATGCATCTAATCATACTTCAGCCCTCAGTTCAAAGTAAACACACATAAACCACCCATTAAACCACCCATAAACTGCTATACTGTGGTCCTCTGTAGCTCAGCTGGTAGAGCACGGCGCTTGTAACGCCAAGGTAGTGGGTTCGATCCCCGGGACCACCCATACACAAAAATGTATGCACGCACGACTGTAAGTCGCTTTGGATAAAAGCGTCTGCTAAATGGCATATTATTATTATTATTATTTTCCCTATGTCTAAAATCATATACAAGTTGAGACAAATCAATCCACTGTTTGCATTGTAACTCGTGCGAAAAACTTGGTACTGGGGATGGTAATTAGAGAGGAATCGAGCCTGCACTCTCCTGCCACCTTTAACACCTATGTTTGACACCCCGTGGATAAAGTCATCTGCTTCCCACAATGAGGATCCAGTATGAATGGGCTCTCGGGCCCAGCGGGTATGTGAAAGGGTGTTTTGTCAGTTGGGCCCATTGGTAAACAACTGGGGGGCTTACAGTTTTATGCTAATGCTGATTGTTTTGTGGTCTCCTTTTGCTTGTGAGGCTATGTGCTTTTACTATGGGGCTGGGTGAGAAGGGCGGTGTTGGTGAGGCTAGAAAGGAAACTTGAGCGTCTACTTTACATCTTTTGTCTTGTTGTGGCCTTTCTTTCATTTGGTATATAACCATTTGGTATGCTATTTGTCCACATTTACTATAGTTTAGCAGCAAATTCAACTCTGACAATTGTTTACAGTGCTTAATTGTGACTTTCCAATTTGCCCAGCTACTGTGTAGGCCTCTGGGGTGGCAGGTAGCCTAGGGGTTAAGAGTGTTGGGCTAGTAACCAAATCCCTGTGCCGACTAGGTGAAAAATCTGTCGACGTGCCCTTGAGCAAGACACTTCACCCTAATTACTCCAGGGTTGCTGTCAATAATGGCTAATCCTTGGCTGTGACCCCACTCGCTAAGGGTGACTCAGGGGGAGTGGGATATGCACATTTCCAATTCACATGTGTATAATACACACTTGTACATGTGTGAAATAGGACAAATGTAAGCACCAACCTAATGGGCAAGTGTAAACAATGGCCTACTATATCATAACAGAAGCCTACTACTATTTGGTGCTATGAAATGAGAATAAAAAACATTACTGTACTGGAAGCTCCTTGCACCTTCTAGGAATCTTCCCCTCCAAGTGCAGCTGCTATGGTGGCCTTCAACATAGTGACAACATGGACGCTCAGGCACATTGACACTGGAGCAGCTGAGGCCTGCAGGAGAAAAGACACTCACAATAAATCTTGACATACAACCCCAACAACACTGTTTACTTTTTTCTCCTCCTGACACACTAAAACCGGTTTGAGCTGAACAGCTCCAGTTCCACTGAGGCCCTGGCTGTGAGAAAGCATTACAGAACAGGAGGAATGAAGCAGGGTTGTGACTTGATGGAGTACAGCTACGACCGGAAGTTACTTTTCGAAAACATAACCGGTTAGGAGAGCATTATAGCTAACCCTAACCCTTTTCCTAAATCTCCTAACCTGCTATGTTAATTCTCCTGACCTGCTGCGTAAATTCTCCTAACCTCCTACGAAAAAAGTAACTTCAGGTTGTAGCTGTATAGGCTACCACCTAGTTTCTACTATGAAGCAGCCTGACTGAGAGAACAATATAATATAATATGCCATTTAGCAGACGCTTTTATCCAAAGCGACTTACAGTCATTTGTGCATACATTTTTACATATGGGTGGTCCCAGGGTTCGAACCCACTACCCTGGCGTCACAAGCGCCATGCTCTACTAATGGAGCTACAGAGGACAACAGTGAAGACGGCTGAAAATTGCTAATGCTAGCCACAAAGTAGGCCCTTTTCATTTTTCAATAGAAGCGCCATAGGTTTCCTTTGGGGGTACACTCTTAGAAAAAAGGGTTCCAAAAGGGTTCTTCGGCTGTCCCCATTCGAGAACCCTTTTTGGTTCCGGGTAGAACCCCTTTTGGTTCCAGGTAGAACTCTTTTGGGTTCCGTGTAGAACCCTTTACACAGAGGGTTATACATGGAACCAAAAAGAGTTCTACCTGGAACCAAAAAGGGTTCTTCAAAGGGTTCTCCTATGGGGACAGCCGAAGAACCCTTTTAGGTTCTAGATAGCACCTTTTTTTTCTAAGAGTGGGTACAATAAAATGGGTACATGTATTGCTGATGCATCAAAATAGCTCAGGTATGTTGCCTAGTAGGTCTATCTGAGAGTGCAGCTAAGGACATGGGGACAGTAGCTAGCAAACACACATTGATGCTGCAATAATGTACATCAATTTGTGAGAATATACATATTTGTCTGTAGTATTGATTGCTGCACTGATTGATTAGGGGAAAATGATCATGCTGGCTGCAACCTGGTCTCAGAGCATTTCATATGATTATGTATGTAAATTCGATACCCCCCATTTACATTTTACATTTTAGTATGATATGTTTAGTTTTGTATAGTATGGTATGCATTAATTTGTGGATGTCCATCACCCATTTCGTATTTACATTTAAGTCATTTAGCAGACGCTCTTATCCAGAGCGACTTACAGTTAGTGAGTGCATAATTTTTTTTTCATACTGGCCCCCCCCCCCCCCCCCCCGTGGGAAACGAACCCACAACCTTGCCATTGCAAGCGCCATGCTCTACCAACTGAGCCACAGGTGACTATGATATGTTATGCTTTACAATTAATATTATATGCAACGAATTTTCAAAATGTACAATATGTTAAGAATTTTCTTTAGCTAGCTGGCTAACATTAGCTAGGTTAGGGGTTAGGGTTATGTTTAGGAGTTAGGTTAAAGGGTTAAGGTTAGGGGAAGGGTTAGTTAAAAGGGTTAACGTTAGGTTTAGGGGAAGGGTGAGCTGCAAAGTAGCCAAAAAGTAGTAAGTGGTTGAAAATATGCTAATTAGCTAAAATAATAAAGTTGTCCACGATGAGATTCAAACTCACAACCTTTGGGTTGCTAGACATTCGCATTATACCCTACCCGTTTTTGCCTTAAGTAAAAATTTGTCTTATGTAAACATACCAAAAGTAACATATCATACTAATTTGAGTGACCCGGATTTACTTTACTATGTTACGTCTAGTCTATGAGACCAGGCTGCAACAATAGGCTAGGCTAGGCTATAGGCTTAACTAGGCTATATAAAGCTACCACTAGTCCAATATTGCAATGATATCCTGATTTAAGACTGCTTGAAAACAAAAGCTTCAGTCGCGTGGCGTGGCTTTATTTTGCAGAGACATGGCTACAATGTCTGCTGCTCGGTAGTACAACACAAGGCGTGGGAGCACATTGGGGTCGCATCCGCACGCAGCTGACAGCTGTTCCCCTGCTGCGCCTTTGTGCTCGGGCTCTACGGTTATGGTGGAGCTTGCTGTTACATTTCTGACTGGCTAGACTGCACACTTGCACATGGAAACATTTGAGCACATATAAGAGCGCAGGCAAAACGTATCAATGGCTGTGTGGGGTCAATCTGTAGTAACATTGGTAACACTATGTCTGAAATATCGAAAACGTTTTACACCTTTACATGCATACATACATGTTATTTGCTTTGCATGTTGAAATCTAGCTCAAATATCTGCGCATGTTGTTGCAATCTAGCTCAAATCTGATTGGCTTAATTTTAGTTTCATTTCATGATCATTCACTTTGACTACTGGCATCGGTTTATCTCGCAGCTCAAGCATTTTATCGTGTTGTTATTTTCATCAATAACTGTTCATTTCCATTGTTTCCTAAATTATCTGATGGGCTAGCAGTGGCAACGGTCCGTGTTATTATGGATCCTTGGGACGCCCCCCCCCATTGAAATTAACATTTTAAATGGTTACGGTAGGCTAAGGGTTAAGGTTAGGGTAAGGTAAGGGTTATGGTTAAAGTCTGGGTAAGGGTTAAGATTAGGGAAGGGACGTCCCAATGATCCCAGATAGCACTGACCCAGTGGGAACGGGCATCCGACACACAACCCCCATTAAAGCGTTTAGGCTTTTGGCGCCATCTATTTTAAATCCCCACTCCGGCCAATCACAGGGGCTTTCCATTAAGCTGCCACAGACAACCTTGACAGTCTCAAAATATAGACATTCAGCCAATCCAAACGCCGTTCATGGCCTGCGTCCCAGATTCAAATGTAAATGCATAATTTCAGCCAACCGTATGACAAGTGGGAGGAGCTGAAAAAACATTTAATCAAGTTTGTGCGGACTGTCTCCCACTCACAAAACAGTGCGAAGGACTTTGCATTGGCACTCATTGTACTTGTGTGGCTGGATAATAGGTGAGTAAGGGAAATTCTACGCTTCTCAAAATCCTTAGCGTTTTTCTACATGTAAAGTTTGTTTTTAGAATGGTTTTGAACTTCAGGCAAAACCCCTCAAATGCTTACTGAAGGATATCTGTGGTTTTCTATTTTACTCAACTAGCCAGCGAAGTTTGGAAGCGCGCGCTGTGATGCAGTTGCTATTTAGCTAGCTAAAACTTGATGCAATCAAACAAATTTAAATATACTTTATTTTTGTGGTCGTAGCAAGGCACTTAGATTGTTCGGTATGATAAGGAACATTTCCGCCCAGAAAATACTTTTTGGGTACTTCTTTCAGACATAACATGCTAAAATGTAACATCGTGCTAGCTAGTTGGCTGGCTATGTTGCACGATGCATTCCATACTTGCAGCCATTGACTGCGCTAGCCTAGCTAACGTCGTTACTAAACTCTTAACTTCGATCAGCCTGGCAGAAATAGTTTAAGTAACCTTTCGGTGTTTTATTTATGACTAACAGGTTTCGTATCATTCTGATGACAAATGTATCAGTGTTTAAATGGTTTTCTCGTACTTATGGACAACATTTGTTGGGGGGGATTTGGTTTAGGCGGGAAACAAAATGGAGGGATGCTTATTGTCCTGGCGGTATGGCCACAATGAAGCAGGAACTCAATCGGATTAGCGCGGTTTCGCGTCCTTGGGCTGTCCGTGGATTGGTTTGCCGGCTTGTTTACTCAGTGGTACCATCCGAATACATTATATTTTTAGAGGTTTTATTCAATTTTTGCTTAATATTGTTTTTACTTATTTTTCAGAATATAGCAGCCATGCCGGGTAAAGATCCTAATAAGCCGAAAGGAAAGACTTCTTCCTATGCGTTCTTTGTTGCGACGTGCCGGGAAGAACACAAGAAAAAACACCCAGGAACTTCAGTGAACTTTTCCGAGTTCTCAAAGAAATGCTCAGAGAGGTGGAGGGTAAGTTCTGACTGAGCCGCCGCCATGTAAAAGTTGTTTTTCCGGGGGGAGGGGGGCGGGGCAAAGCGTGCCTACGAAACAGTTAGCAAATCGATGTATCAAATGGTGGGGATTTGGAGCAACATGGAGGCTTACGCATTTTTCTGTTTTCCAGACCATGTCTGCAAAAGAGAAGGTCAAGTTTGAGGACATGGCCAAGGGTGACAAAGTCCGTTATGACAAGGACATGAAGGGTTATGTGCCCCCCAAGGGCTCTAAGGCAGCAGGAAAGAGAAAGAAGGACCCCAATGCCCCCAAGAGGCCGCCGTAAGTACTTCACTTAGAACTCTACAGAAATCAATACAGTTGTATATGTTCAGATTTTGGAACTAAATGTGTTCTCAACATTCTATCCCCAATAGATCTGCATTTTTTGTGTTCTGCGCTGAACACCGTGGCAGAATCAAGGCCGATAACCCAGGCATGGGCATTGGAGACATCGCCAAGCAGCTGGGTCTGCTGTGGGGCAAGCAGACTCCCAAAGACAAGCAGCCACACGAGGCAAAGGCTGCCAAGCTGAAGGAGAAGTATGAAAAGGTAAGGTCCACTCCAGAACCACTTCAACTACCACTTATAGAACACATGTCATAAAACATCCAAGTCCATTTTTGTTAACTGAAGTGTTTGTTGTAGGATGTTGCTGCCTACAAGGCTAAGGGAGGCGCAGGTGCAACTGCTAAGAGTGGACCCGGCAGGCCAGTAGTTGGCAAGAAGGCAGCGCCCATGGATGATGATGATGACGACGATGAGGAGGATGATGATGAGGAAGATGAGGAAGATGATGAGGATGATGACTAAACTGCCTGGAAACTTGAGCTGGAGTATTTGCAAAACAATGTGAACCTTACAATGTAACATTTATAGCATTTTGGATTTTTCAGAACATGTACAGTGATGTGCAATGGCTGCAATAATGCATACAGGGGTCATATTGTGCTGTCTTGTAAATTTAACAGCTCTTATTCTCAAAGCACTGCTTGTTTTGTCTTTGGATGGTGGCATGTTCTTTTCCGCCCTATATTGATATCGTTTCCACTGCCGTTTTAAGAAATACAAGGAACAATGTGTAGACGTTTGCAACCCATTTTTAACGTGGAGCTTAAATTGTTTCAGTGTAGAATGATTTCTTTTTATAATAAAATTTTGTTTTGTATATTATGATTAACTCTTGCCTCGTTGATGACTACAAGTTAGACACAGGCTGCGTTTAGACAAGCAGCCCAACTCTGATAATATGCAATTTAGCAGACTCTTTTATCCAAAGTGACTTAGTCATGTGTGCATACATTTTTAGGTATGGGTGGTCCCGGGGATCGAACCCACTACCCGTTGAGCCCCCCCCACTTATGAGGTTTGGCTATCCTAAGTTGAATGCACCAATTGTAAGTCGCTCTGGATAAGAGCGTCTGCTAAATGACAACTCTTTCTGATCAGTCAAAAGCCCACTTGGTGGGAGGAATTCTTTACCAAGAATCCATCCACCTGACAAGTGTGGCATATCTAGAAGCTGACTACACAGGTGCACCTTGTGCTGGGTACAAAAGGCCAGTTTCGTCAACAAAATGGCATGTCAAGTTGAGGGAGTGCAATTGCTGACAGCTGGAATGTCAAAGGCCTGCATAGGCACCCCACATTGAGCATGTTTGGGATGCTCTGGATTGATAAAGTTCCTGCCAATATCCAGCCGTTGAAGAGCGGGACAGCCTGATCAACTCTATGCGAAAGACATGATGCAAATGGTGGTTACACCAGACAGACTGGTTTTCTGATCCACGCCCCTACCTTAAAATGTGAACAACCGATGCATATCTGTATTCCCAGTCATGTGAAATCCATGTAGAAGGGAGGCTTTGGTCATGTTGATCAGACTAGCTCGCTGTAAGGTTGATGTTCACCTTGTGGTAACAAGGTCTACAACCAAACAAGTGAATAGCGTATAGATGGTCTGAGGGAAATGCATGTCTATAATCCTGTAGGTAAGAATCCAACCTCAAATCCACTGCAGTTGGAGTGGTTGAGGTATTTGCTTTTGAATAGATAACATGCAAATGAGACCATGGTTATCTGGGGGAGGGGTGAGGACCCCAAAATCTGGGGGATTTAGTGTAATCAGACCTTAACACAAGGTTCAAAAGAGGCATGAATATAATAGGCCTATCACAATTGAGCACAATAAAAAGCCCCTATTGTACAACTTGGATAAATAAAATTGTCATTTCAAGGAAGAGGGGCAAAAGTAGTTGGTAAAAAGGTTCAATTTATTGCCATCAGTACAGTTCCAGACAATATTTTTTATAAGTTAGATATTTACACCTTCATCCAAGGCCCACTGCATAGCTCAATGTTTTAGAAATACATATATTTACATTATTTAAAAAATGCATACTTATCACATCATACCCCAAAGAAAAATATTTCTTAATTTTGCTTTGAACAAATTGGTGTCTGATTCTGGTTGCTTTGTAGTCATCATTCAACAACATTTACATACCAAGCTGGAAATATATAAAAACAATCAAATAAAAACCTTTCTTTATATACCCATTTGAAATTCACCAGTTAGAGCCGATGTGTTAAAAAAACATCCAGTGTTCATACTTGACCATGATTCATGAGTGGACTTATCCATCTAGCCTGGTCCCAGATTGGTTTGTGCTTTCTTGCCAATTAAACACCTATGGGTCATTGTACAAACAGATCTGGGACCAGGTTATAATCCATTGCAGCTTTCAAAAACATAAGATTCTTAGGAACCTAGCTTGAGTGGGCAGTTTATTACACGACTACTAGAAGTGGTTTTGAATTGTTGAAATGTTCAATTCTGCACATTGATTAATGAATCCTCCACCAATGTTAAGTTAGAAAAATTCTCAGACCCCTCAGTAATATCCCAAAGACCCCAGTAAGATGTAAAGATCGAGAGAAGAGAGCAAGAACGTGTAAACATCTACAACTGAAAAAAAGTCCAATTCTCCAAGTGTGTACGGAGAAGTATCTTTCGTGGGACATAGTTGAGAGAGCACATTATCCCCTATATAGTGCATTGCTTTTGACCAGGGCCCTTACGTAGGGGCGTCATTTCAGCTAAACCTACACAATTTAAGAACTCTAAAAAGCTATTTGGAGACAGCGAAAACAAGCAGAATTGACTCCAGCCACTATCATCTTAGTTGTAGCTTCATTCCCCTCAGTAAATAAGGGACTTCACTTTCTACAAACATGTCATACAGCAATTAGCTGCTAAGCACTAGCTCAGCACCGGCATTAAAAACGAGTTAAATTTCATGTGAAGTCAAGCGGCAGTTACTTAGCCATCTTCCACCTCTGCACTGTTTTAAGACAAAAGTCATGCTGTTCATTACAGCTGCCTCAGCTCAATGTGCTCTAGCCAGGCAAACAGTATTTCCACCCACTCTGAGGCCTGCCAGCTATTACCACTAAAACTGCATTTGCCTTTTAATGGGGATTGGAATGATTTTAGTAGCCCATTTAAAAATAGTTGGTGGTGAGCTAGGGTATGGTGATTGCCATACACAATTGACACACCTGCCCATAGGGCTCTGGTGAAAAGTAGTGCACTATATAGGGAAATCGGGTGCCATTTTGGACACAAACAACCTCTCAATGCTGCAGACAGTTGAAGTGCAGTGTTTGACACCCTATCCTGTTGAGTGAGTTCCAGTAGGAGTTAAGTACCCTCTGTGGGGCCGTAGCTTTAAACCGCTACAATATTGTTCATCTCCCACTTTTGTGTGCTCTTGCTGGTGTCACAGTCTGCGATGAAGACCTTGTGGAGAACGTCCGACCGATCCAGGCACCTCCCCGTGGGGACGTGGGTGAATCTGTGGAGGTCCTGGGAGGGAAATGAAAAAGTGAGTTCACTTACACTACATATATCCTCACATACAGTACCAGTCAAAAGTTTGGACACCTACTCATTCCAGGATTTTTCTTTATTTGGACTATTTTCTACGTTGTAGAATAATAGTGAAGATATCAAAACTATGAAATAACATATGGAATCATGTAGTAACCAAAAAAGTGTTAAATCAAAATATATTTTATATTTGAGATTCTTCAAATAGCCAACCTTTGCCTTGATGACAGATTTGCACACTCTGCTAATGTAAAAAATAGTAAAAATAAAGCAAAACCCTTGAATGAGTAGGTGTGTCCAAACCTTTGACTGGTAGTGTACATGCTAATAAGCTTTGTTCAGCAGTACCATCTCAAGATGTAGCGCGATAGGAAAACCTCATAATACTGTATTGGTAACAAGGATGGATTCTCTTTCCAACTGTTTACCACACTTTATGAAGCAATCATATATTGAAACTATGGCACCAACCTGAGGTGGTTCATATCTCAGGATTACACTTTGTATAGGACGTTAGCTGCAACGGCATACCTTGAAGTATCTCCATTCTGTGTTCTCGTTCATGTTACAGTGTGTAATGATCACCGCCGACCCGTCTGGTCCTTTCGTCAAGCACTGGTCATACTGCATGAGCTGGTTCACTTCATTTATCCTGAAAAGCTACAAGAGATGTTTTATCAGTAAAAGACGAATAATGTTTATGAATAAATAGTGAGATATATAATCCCAAATGACACAAAGGGCTTTCTGACCTGGTTCCCGCCCATTCTGTGACAGGGTCCAATCTCCACGTTGCCTCCGTTGGTGTGGCCCATACTGTCAATGCAGTAGCTGGTCTCATATCCACGGACCTGGAACAAAGCAATAATGTTCACTATACAGTCCAAATGCACATACACTACATATAAACAAAAGTATGTGGACACCCATTCAAATGAGTGGATTTGTCTTTTTCAGCCACCCCCATTGCTGACAAGTGTATAAAAGCACACTGCCATGTACTCTCCATAGACAAACATTGGCAGTAGAATGGCCTTACTGAAGAGCTCAGTGACTTTCAACATGGCACCGTCATAGGATGCCACCTTTCCAACAAGTCAGTTCGTCAAATGTCTGCCCTGCTAGAGCTGCCCCGGTCAACTGTATGAATGAATGACATTTTATTTTCGTGTCAAATTGCCATTTGGCAACCCATCCCTTATGGGATTAATTGACACATAAACAAACATTACAATAATTCACTGTGGTAATTAAATGATAATTCTTCTGGTGTTCTCTGCATTGCACATCGCATAAAGAGTGAAAAAATGTAATGTAAAAATCAATACATAATAGTAAATAAGGTTATCCAAACATTCATACTGTATATATACACACATACAGAAATACAGTAAAAAAAGAAACAGAAGGCATTTGAAGCCAGTCTGGGAGAAAGAGAAGATTCATGTGGGAGACAAGCCTATACACAATGTATATACACACACACGTGCATTTACCACATAGAAGCTAAATATTTGTACAATGTAATTATAGGTAGCCCTTTTTCTTTGATTCCAGGCTTTACCTAAATATTCCGCAAACAGAAATACACAATGGACAAAAAAACCATTTGAGTTCCTCCTCATGGCTCAGCCACATAATGCCAGGGTATATCTGGTGTGCTTTCTGGAATAAGAGAAAGCGTATATCGTGGTAGAAAGGGCCATAGAGGATAAAATGAGTTTCATTCTCTATTTCTTCCAGGTCACAATAGTTACATAGTCTTTCCTCTTCCATTTCACCACAATACCGACCTGTTTCAATACGCAGAGGCAATATCCCTGATCTTACCTGTGCACATAGCGGTCTCTTGCTTTTAGGTAAGTTATACATAATATATCTCACACACAAATTCACCCTTAATTCAACAAAAGGTTCTCAATTTAGGTTTATGATTAATCTCCTCCACGCATTTTTTTCTTCATATTGCATCAACATTTGTATTTTAATCATATCTATGTCTCCCTTAATTTGGTTTTCATACAGATGTTCACAGTCAGACATTTCAGTTGCCCAGGCTCCCCCTATGGATAGATCCCATTGAAAAACTTTCCAAGCTATTCTGGCAGTTGGCATATCCAACAGTCTATTCCAAAGTCTCGGCATACATGCGACCTCCCGAGTGGCGCAGTGGTCTAAAGCACTGCATCGCAGCGCTAGCTGTGCCACTAGAGATCCTGGTTCGAATCCAGGCTCTGTCGTAGCCGGTCGCGACCGGGAGAACCCATGGGGCGGAGCACAATTGGCCCAGCGTCGTCCAGGGTAGGGGAGGGAATGGCCGGCAGGGATGTAGCTCAGTTGGTAGAGCATGGCGTTTGCAACGCCAGGGTTGTGGGTTCGATTCCCACGGGGGGCCAGTATGAAAAATAAAAAAAGAATGTATGCACTCACTAACTGTAAGTCGCTCTGGATAAGAGCGTCTGCTAAAATGACTAAAAAATACACGCTTTCCATCTCACCTCACTGGGTTCCCTGCCCATGTCCCCAGTTATTGCAAGTATAGGTGCAAACTTGTGGACACATAAAAAGTAACGTACTGCTCTGCTATGGACATGTTCGTTTTTTAAATTCCTCTTAACACACCCACACTCCGGCTGAATAGTCCAGAACAGGACACACGCATGTCTGATACAGTTTTGAATACGTAGCATAACCAATATCTTTGAGTGTTTTTGTTTTTCATAACTCCCTCAAGAGCTCTACTTGCGGAGTCGGCCAGGGCAGATGTTCCGTATAGAAAGGTAATATGATCATCAATAAAAATTCCCAAATAAGTAAGTGCTGTTAAATTATTATATATTTTTTTACTTTGACCCCTTTTTCTCCCAAATTGCTGATATCCAAATTGGTAGTTACAGTCTTGTCCCATCGCTGCAACTCCCCTACGGACTCGGGAGAGGCGAAGGTTGGGATCGAACCCGGGTCTGTAGTGACGCCTCAAGCACTACCTTAGACTGCTGCGCCACTCGGGAGGCCAACTGTAAGTGCTGTTATTGTGAAGTAGAAACGTCTAGGAGCAACAACGCCTCAGCTGACAGAACGGGACCGGCGAGTGCTGAAGCGCGTACAAATGGTATTTCCTAGGTTGCAACACCCACTACCGAGTTCCAAACTGCCCCTGGAAGCAACGTCAGCACAATAACTGCTCGCCGGGAGCTTCATGAAATGGGTTTCCATGGCCGAGCAGCCACACACAAGCCTAAGATCACCATGCGCAATGCCAAGCGTTGGCTAGAGTGGTGTAAAGCTTGCCGCCATTGGACTCTGGAGCAGTGGAAACGCGTTTTCTGGAGCGATGACGCTAGGAGAACGCTACCTGCCCAAATGCATAGTGCCAACTGTCAAGTTTGGTGGAGGAGGAGAAATGGTCTGGGGCTGTTTTTCATGGGTTCGGGCTAGGCCCCTTAGTTCCAGTGAAGGGAAATCTTAATGCTACAGCATACAAATACATTCTAGACTATTCTGTGCTTCTGACTTCGTGGCAACAGTTTGGGGAAGGCCCTTTCCTGTTTCAGCATGATGGGGAAGGCCCTTTCCTGTTTCAGCATGACAATGCCCCGTGCACAAAGCAAGGTCCATACAGAAATGGTTTGTCGAGATTGGTGGAAGAACTTGACTGGCCTACACAGAGCCCTGACCTCAACCCCATCGAACACCTTTAGATTAATTGAAACACCGACTGCAAGCCAGCCCTAATTACCCAACACTAGTGCCCGACCTCCCTAATGCTCGTGGCTGAACGGAAGCAAGTCCCCGCAGTAATGTTCCAACATCTAGTTGAAAGAATTCCCAGAAGAGTGGAGGCTGTTATAGCAGCAAAGGGGGGGGACCAACTCCATATTAATGCCCATGATTTTGGAATGAGCTGTTCGACGAGCAGGTGTCCACATACTTTTGGTCATGTAGTGGACAGTAACACTACTCTTCAACAGATGCATATGATGATATTTTAACGAAGTAAGACTGCAATTCAGCTCTTAGCTACTATTGTGTAGTATGAATAAACTAAAATACTTTAGCCTACCTCTCCCCACTCCACGTTTTTGGGGGGCAGTGGGTAGTTAATGGGGATGTCGTAGGCGATTTCTTCCATGAACCACTTGAAGCTCTTGCAGCGGTGCTCCTCTCTGAACTTCTTGAGCTGGCTGATGTCCCCGTAGGCCAGGGTGAGGGTCTCCGGCCGGCTTGCGTAGAAGTAGTCCTTGTAGTCATCCCACCAAACCTCCACCACACGCACATAGTTCTGGAGCAGGGAGGATCAGAATAAAACACCAAATGATGGACAATTATTAGTTTCAATGAATGATGTCCTTCAAGAGGAGTTGTCAATCAGTCAGTCAATCCATATGCTACTTCTCATATGGTGTTTTTTCCATAAGATGCTTTATGAGACAAGACAGATACCAGATACATATGATATCCATACAATGAATCCCTATTGACCATTTGATAAACGGCTGTAGGCCTACATGAACTGTGCTTAGCACAATATATCATTACATAATCTAGTCACCCTTGTAGACATTTGAAACTGGCTGAACCATATTGCTTTACAAGGATGAATCCAAGTAAATAAGCAGATGCCAGGTCAGCTCAAATTAGCAAAGTTAAGCTGCCAAGGATTTGCCATAGTGGGCTAGCCTGGTCCCAGATCTGTTTGTGTTGACCTGCCAACTCTTATGGTCATTATGACAATCACCATAGGAGTTGGAAAGAGATTGAAAGCAGATCTGGGAGCAGGCTAAGAGGGGCATCCTGGGTGCTTAGTTTGGCAGACTTGGCACACTGACCTTAAGTGTGGGCGAGGAGCCGATGTGGGCAGGGGGTGGGTTGCCATGCCAGCCCTGTAGGCGGTAGATGTGTCCCACACGGGAGCACGGCACGAAGAGCAGCTGGCCACCACACTGCCAGATCTGGGATCAGATCAGGACAATAGAACATGCTGGAGTTACAGAGATGGTACATACAAAGCAGAAAATACGATAGCATACCAGTACAATAGAGAGATAACATAGTTGAAATCAACAGCAAATAAATAACAGCTACTAATCAATATGAATGACACATAACAGTATCAATAAAGGAACAAACAACAGCCTACGTACTTTATAATGATGTGAAATCTTTCGATAGGTGATTGAGAGGTGGTGGTCGTAGTGTTTACCTTGTAGGATATCTCAAAGTTCTCCCCTCCCCAGATCTGCAGTCCTGGGTCATAGAGGCCCAGCTCGAAGAAGAAGTCCCTCTCAATGGCAAACAGCCCCCCAGCCATGGCAGGAGACCTGAGAAAGGCCCAAAACTACATTACCCACAATCCACAGGTGTCTCATCCAGAGAGAGGGACAAGAGCTAAAATGTAGCAGGGAAGAAGGTGGATACATGATGAAATGGGGAGAAACATAAGCATTATGACAAAAAGAGTGAACAAGAACATTGACCCAAAGAGTGCGCCCATACAATCCCTATTCCCAAATATCATGCTAGCCACCGAAGGTGAAACATTACGGACTTATCTCGTTAAAAAATGTAATAACGTGATAGGATACTGAGTTGTGGAGAAGACAGAAGAGATTATTGGTGAGGAAATCACACCAAGAGAAACTGAGAAGGAGAATGCAGGACATTAGTGAGAGATTTCAAAGAGTTTAATTTCAAAGACAAGCAGTGGCAACTGTCAAAAGTGCGATTCTTCCTTCTAGGTATCAGACTGCTAGCAGTCAGTGTTATGCCAAAATGATACCTTTAATTGGTCCAGGCCATAGGCGTTTCCACAATAGCATGAACTTCGGCACTAATTTACCAGGGCTAATTTCCATTTAGAGCAATTAATAAACCACATTGAGCGCTACAGCTAGTAGTTAATGGGTATTACATAGCTTTCAGAGTATTGTTACATCTACAGACTATTATGAGGTAGCACTTGTGTTTCATAGTTAAAGTTTGCAGATCACTAGTAGTTCAGCATACAATTATACACTATAGAGAAGTGCCAAGCAGTAGTGAGTAAGCCAAGCAAATAGTAATGTACATGCAGACAGCATATACAACATGCCATATCGTATGCTCAACTGTATCATTTGTGCCTCAGTTAGGGGTTGATGTTGCTAGCAGGATAGATTTTTTAGTGCAGATTAATTACCGATAGGGCTCAGTTTTAGTTAATCTCTTCTCCTTCTCCCTGCTACTGAGGGGCACACGCTTCCAGAGCATGCTCCAGTCCCATGCTCCGCGGGCAAAACCATCCTCGTCCCCTCCCCCTTGTGGGTCAATGTTGAATGTCTGGCCATGTATGGAGTCTATGAGAGGGACCGTGCACACCGTTCTAGGTAGGGACAGCCGGTGGGGAGATGGAGGGTTTCATGCATAACACACACACACACACACACACACACACACACAAAGAGGGGGGAAAAAACAATACATCTGGGTTTTAGATGGGCATGCATGGCATGAGGATGTTTACCGATAAGGCTCAGTCCTATGCTTTCGCTTAGCCTTCTCCCTGCTGGAGAGAGGGACTCTCTTCCACAGCAGGCTCCAGTCCCAGGCTCCACGGGCCAGCCCGTCCTCATCACCACCTTGCTGGGGCTCTATGGTATAGTCACTGCCGTCTATGTAATCTATCAGAGGTACAGTGCATACCGTTCTGGAAACAGGCAATGAGAACACAAACACAATGTTACAGTGGGGTAGACCAAATCAAATTGTATTTGTCACATGCGCCGAATACAACAGGTGTAGACTTACTTACAAGCCATTAACCAACAATGCAGTTCAAGAAAGAGTTAAGAAAATATTTACTAAATAAACTAAAGTAAAAAATAAAATAAAAATGTAACACAATAAAAACAAACGAGGCTATATACAGGGGGTACCTGTACAGAGTCAATGTGCGGGGGTACAGGTTAGTCGAGGTAATCTGTACGTGTAGGTAGGGGTAAAGTGGCTATGCATAGATAATAAACGGCCTGCAGCAGCAGTGTAATAACAAAGGGAGGGGGAGGTGTCAATGTAAATAGTCCGGGTGGCCATTTGATTAATTGTTCAGCAGTCTTATGGCTTGGGGGTAGAAGCTGTTAAGGAGCCTTTTGGTTCTAGACTTGGCACTCCGGTACCGCTTGCCGTGCGGTAGCAGAGAGAACAGTTTATGACCAATTTTTTGGGCCTTCCACTACACTAAATGCATATTAATTACTAATCAATACTTAGCATAGATAAACAGTTTACTAAATATGTCCAGGCATTGCATATTCAGCATGGATGGATACACCGATATATACACACACACATTTGAATAAAATCTGCACATTAATTAGGTTGTATTAACTTCAATGTATGTCACTAGTTATGTTGTGGCTCTGCTGTGACATAATACAGAGATGTTTCTGGTAGAGACGATTCATGACCTGCACCATTCATTGATGGATGGATCAGAATCTTTTTCATTATTACAGTTCAACAAGTCATCATATACGAGGTAGAAATATTCAAAAATCACAGCCGCAGACCACTCATACCTGTCCTTGGATATGGGGGCCACCAGAGGGGCGTACCAGTTGGCAGAGACTTCACAGTGAGCATCTAAATAGACCAAAACCTATAGACAGGACACACAGCAGCCAAACACGTCACACACTGGAGAGAACAGTTGCTTGACACAAGAGTTGTTACCATTCCCCCATCTATATGGATATCAATCTATATTAGTGGCTCCAGATCAATCCATTCATTCCCCCTTTCCCTTGGTCTCATCCATACACACAGTAAGTGTAGATGTGATGGAGTAGCTGTAACCTACCTGTCCCAGAGTGGCTACATGGGCTCCTATACTCCTGGCCTGGATGAGGCCCTCCCTCTTCTCATTGCGGTGCAGTTTGACCAGGCCGTTCCACTGCTTAATGTACTCTTCTAGTCTCTCCTTCAGGTGCACTGGAGACCGACAGGGAGATTAAATCTAGTTTTATTTGTCCGGTACACAGTTTACCAGGAGGTGCAGTGAAACGCTTGTGTGCTAGGCCCCATAACATTGCAGTACAATAAATCAATAAGAGTCAAATCAATAAAGTAATAAAAGAGGTAGTATGCCTAGTAATAGCCTGATATGTACACAATAGGATATATACTACAGTATTAGATAATGATTGTGCTATGTAAAGTATGACTGTATTTACATATATAAATGCCCCGGTGCACAAAATTGTCCATACAGAAATGGTTTGTCGAGATCGGTGTGGAAGAACTTGACTGGCCTGCACAGAGCCCTGACCTCAACCCCATCGCACACCTTTGGGATGAATTGGAATGCCGACTGCGAGCCAGGCCTAATTACCCAACATCAGTGCCCGACCTCACTAATGCGCATGGCTGAATGGAAGCAAGTCCCCGCAGCAATGTTCCAAATCTAGTGGAAAGCCTTCCCAGAAGAGTGGAGGCTGTTATAGCATCAAAAGGTGGGACCAACTCCATATTAATGCCCATGATTTTGGAATGAGATGTTCGACGAGCAGGTGTCCATATACTTTTGGTCATGTAGTGCAGCTAGCTAAGGACACTCGGCAGTTAACACAGACAGCGGTTTCATGGAAACTAATCCATTGGGATTGCATTATGTCAATATTTGCTACAGTGGTTAGCTAGCTTGCAGGAAGTATTGTGTTGTGTGCATTGCGTCTGTGCACTTAGCTAACATCCCATAGCCTACATTGCATATGAAGTGTGTCTGGCTCATGACATTTAACTGTGGATGTACGGAGAAAACACCCTCTTTCCATTTTTGTTGTCACTCCTGTTGGCTCGCCCACGTGGGGGGGGGTTGGTGCTCTCTGATTGGCTCAAAGTCAAGTTGTTGGTTACTGACGAGAATTGCAATTCTACAAGTAGAAAAGGTAGGTTCGTCGCTACCGGGTTAGCACGCAGCAGGTACCGCTTTTGTTGAAGCAAGAAAAAGCACGGCCTCCCACTGTGATAAGTACCTATCGGAAGTGAGTGTTTCATGCTTTAACTATAGAGAGAGATATTTCTGTATCGACCCTAGAATACTATTTTATAAACCATAACCTTGAGTTTAATTCCACAACATCAGTGCAACGATGATGAGCCCCTGACAGAGCTCTATATCGCTTGCAGTCTGTGAGCTAGTCACAACCTTTAGAATTACTTGTGTAATGTTTGGCTGTGGCTGCCTGCTGTAGAACAAAAATGTGCAACAACTGATGTGAAATCGGAGAAATAATGTGGCGTCTTTCTCATTCAAAACCCTGTTTCCAACTGCCAGATTATAGCTTTATTGGCCAAACAGTGAAGTGCTAGTGATAGCATACAGATGGTTTATAATGTTGTAACAGGCTTTGGTAATAGCATTCAGTGGCAGGCTGCATGCTTAATGAGATTAATTCCCCGAGCTCTTGATGTTCTCATGAAGTCAGTGTCCGTTACGTCTCTTTTGTGTTGTGGTGCCCCCTCTTCGGGTGAATTACTCAGCCAGCTTTTCACAATGGTGGACTAGGCTCTCACACAGTACTACTGAGTGGTGGACTAGGCTCTCACACAGTACTACTGAGTGGTGGACTAGGCTCTCACACAGTACTACTGAGTGGTGGACTAGGCTCTCACACAGTACTACTGAGTGGTGGACTAGGCTCTCACCACAGTACTACTGAGTGGTGGACTAGGCTCTCACACAGTACTACTGAATGGTGGACTAAGCTCTCACACAGTACTACTGAATGGTGGACTAGGCTCTCACACAGTACTACTGAGTGGTGGACTAGGCTCTCACACAGTACTACTGAGTGGTGGACTAGGCTCTCACACAGTACTACTGAGTGGTGGACTAGGCTCTCACAGTACTACTGAGTGGTGGACTAGGCTCTCACACAGTACTACTGAATGGTGGACTAGGCTCTCACACAGTACTACTGAATGGTGGACTAGGCTCGCAGTTCTACTGAATGGTGTTGCATTGCTTGGGCAGGGCCTCACAATGCAAGACTGAGGGAGACACTGGGGGGGGAAGGGTGTTCCACTCCAATGCTTTTCAGTGCCAGTGATAATTTAGCATGACAATGGCACAGTGCTGTTGCAGAGCGCTGGTTCAATTGCTGGACTCTTTACTTGGTAATTGGAGTGGGGGTCCCCTGCTTACAGCCAACTGTAGTCATCTACTAGCCTAGCTGAAACAAAGCAGGGTGCTATTAACCAAGAAGACATGTTATGCATTTAGGCTTATATCTGAGAAAAGTACAGCAGTGAAGTCCTGGTACTCTGCAGCAGAGTGATGTCATGAAGCCTTCTAGTCTAACCTGATTGGCTAATTCAAAATAGAACAAACAAGTCATTTAGCAGACACTCTTATCCAGAGTGACTTAGTTAGTGCATCGATCTTAAGATAGTTAGGTGGGACAACCACATATCACAGGAAGTACATCTCAATAAAGTAGCTGTCAGCAAAGTCAGAGCTAGTAAGGGGTGGGGGGAGTCAAGTGTGAGCATTAGTTCAAACTTTTTTATAATTTTTTTACAATGACAACAAAAAAATACAATATTGGTACAAAAACAAAACCCTATCAGCCTTCTGTTGTATAACTTGTATACCCCATTATAAACCTCCATTGAAAAGTTTGAGGCTCAAACCAAGGCTACCTTTGTTGCTGAAGTCGTCAATCATGACAATCTCGGCCAGGTATCGTCTGGGCGTTCTCTTGATGACGCTGTGGCACCGTCCTCATCAGGGTGGACCAGCCCTCGTTGTGGAACACGATGATGACACTGGACGTCAACAGGTTCTCGTCGTAGTGCCAGTACTTACACCTAGGAGGAGTGGGGGAGGAAGATTTCAATCAAATGGCTGTAGGCATACATACATACTGCACATGTTGTGGATAACAGGGAATATTTATATAGATTAGGCTATGTTCAGTAGCTGGAAAGTATTCTTTTTTTAACCAAGTTTGTATAGCATTTCATACATTTAGAAAATACTGCTTTGGAGTGATATAGGACTGTATACAAAAAGGGGCCAAAGGCGCAACAGATTCCACTATGCAATCTGAAGACGTCAGAATAGACAGCGATTGCTGCTAGCTAGCGCCATTCCAACACACAGCCCCAAGCTCAGCTGCCTAGCGCTCTCTTGTATCCACCCAGAGCTCTCTGCTAGGCCTCTGTCACTACCCCCATTCCCCTCCCCCTCCACAGGCATGCCATCTGTGAGGCAGGAAGGCAGCCCTGCTTTGTGTGGTTTCCTCTGGCAGAGTGCGCTGTGTGTGTGTCCTGGACTCCACTTCCTCATTCTGAGCGTACTCCCTCACTAGAAGTCCCTGCTGCTCTTCTACTGCAACAACAGCACTCACTACCTCCCATTGCCTACGTATGGGTTTCAAGCCAGCCAACTGCCCTATTAATACAGCTGTGAGTGTGAGAGAGCGAGTGAGTGAGAGATGAGGGGCCGGGCCAGACACTGGAGTGGCATACTGAGGGTCTATTTTTAGCCTTGGTTTGAGCCTTGGCAGATTCCTTTGCTAGCGCCTCTGGGACAACCTGAATGGAAAAGACGGAGCGTCGAGGCGTCTGAGGTCACCGTGCGGAATTCAGGACGGAGTGAGCAGTAAGAGGTTGGTCAGGTCTGGGCTGAACAGAGAACAGTTTACAGCACAGCAGATCTGGAGTATCTGGGAGGGGTTGTTTAGGCTTAGAGACTGAACTGAGAACAGTTTATAGAGCTGGATAGTGCGTTTCAGGGAGGGTTCATTTATGGTGAATCACACAGGGTTTGCCTACCTGTCCAGGATGATTATAACATGAGACATATAAACGGTCTCTTTCTAAGAAGCCTGGCTGGTTTGTGTGCACTGTGACGCATGTATGTTTTGCATTGCAAATGTACATCTGTGCGTTAGTGTGTGTTGCTCCCGTCGCATCTCCCCTTTCTCCCCTGCAGTAACATGCGGAACGGCTCCTGTTCTGGTCTGCCCTCCTGGTTCTCACCCACCAACACTGACATGAACACCTCAGATTACAGTCCTGTTGGACCAAACCTTTTATATAAGGTGAGAGCTCACAGCTCCATTAAAGGGAAAGTGTCTTAGCCTCTCCAGGCCTCATAAAACAGATAAATATCCTCATGTACCTCAAGTCACTCCCTTTTACAGCCAGGGAGGTTTTGGACTACCACTTTATTATGACCGGCGCAAAAAAGCTTTAACAGTAAATAAAGGCCCGGAGAGGCCAAATGTGGGAGGCACTAATGACAGACTGGCAGCATCTGAAATGGCACCCTATTCCCTATATAGTACACTACTTTTAAACAGGACCCATAGGGCTCTGGCCAAAAGTAGTGCACTATATAGGGAATAGGGTGCTACTTAAGAAGTCTCCCTGGAGAGGCTTATATAATGTTGTGAAAGTAAAGATTATTAGAGGGGATCTTATACTGAACCGGGATTCAGTGCTCTTCCCACCCCCAACCCATCCCTGTCTTTAACAGTGTAACTGACGGCTTATCCTTCAGCTACAGTATGCTGGCTTGTGTTTTGAGTTGAGGCGTCGATGAGTTAGAAGGGCAGGGGAGGAAAGCATTAGTCATATCAGCTTCTTGTAAACACTGCAATAGTCTACACATGGGGTAAGCTCTATGGCCGTATTCAAATCTACTGCATTTGAGAACAATTTTGAAGTTGCTGAACTACATTTTATGAATATTCACTAGGCCTATGGGTAATTTGCTCTGACAGTGTGGAGTGTCCTCAAGTCCAACAAGGATCCATTGCAGAACAGCAGTTAGCCTACATGAGTTTCCACGAAAGCCTCCCTCAGTCCCATCTGAAAACGACACAAATAGAAACATATCCAGTGATGTGCTTGGACCTGGTGTTAATTAACTCAAGGGAGCGTGCACAGTTGAACGGTTTGGGTTGCTGCGGTTGTGTATGAGGGAAGGTCTATTCCAAAGACTGGAGTTCTCAGCATGACAACGCACTGAACTCACTACACTTGGTAAAGGTAATGCATTTCTCCACATGGCACTACAAATCGCAAAACCTCCATACGGATTTTGCAAGCATTTCGCCAACTAATCTCGTGGACAGACTATGTAAACATAAAATTACGCAACATTTTAGTTCTGGGTTAACTAAGATTATTAGCTAACAAAATCAGTCAGGATGCAGACTGGAGGCTTGGAGAGTGATAGTTGTGTGTGGAAACATTCATCATGTGTCTATAAAGACAACAGTTCTCTCTGTGCTGAGCTCTATGGGGAGGAAGATCAGCCCAACACTAATGAATCACACCGGTGCCTTCACTCCAACTCACACAGTCCGTGGAGGTTACTTGTCGCTCTAGGGGCATCATGTGAGTTTCAGTACGTGTGTGTGTGTGTGTGTGTGTGTGTGTGTGTGTGTGTGTGTGTGTGTGTGCGCGTGCCTGACAGAGTACAGGAAGGAGATAGAGATAAAAACAAGTGTATGCGCGTGTGTAGAGGGCCCTGTGCTGAGCGAAGGTCAGCCATCTTCCTGTCTTTAAAAAAACGCTGCCTGTTGGCAGGATCCTTCCAGACTAGGCAGCTCTTACCCAGTCAGTCACACCCTACCGGAGAAACACTGTGTAATGTATGACAAATAGGCTAGGCTAGTAGCTACCTGTCAACCACACACAACCAGGAAGCCTGGAACATGTAGGCCTAGGTCAAGTCACATGTACTAAATAAACAGGCCTATGCTCTGTCAACAGAAAAAGGTATGAAAATCACATCACTAAAAACAATTTTAAAGTGTTTAAAGAAGTGTTTTGAGGAGGAGGCTAAGGGTGTAACATCAATGTTTTCATAAGGCTTACGTAGATTCTGGCAGTGAATAACTTTTAACAGTGTTGTAGTGCTAGTGTCATGGGTGGATATTGGATACATTCAGATATGATATTTTGCGATAACACGATATGGACTGTTCAGGACGGAAAACGCTCAACCGGTTGACTAGTTATCCCAGTCTGACATCAACTAGTCCTATCTATAGACCTACGGCCGTGTCTCGGGACTAGTCTAATTGATACAGGCTTGCTCTTCATCAGAGAATTGTTTTTGTTTACTTACAGAGCCCCTGGAGGCCAGCTGAGCCTGATCTGTGGTGAAAATACTGAACATCCTTGGCTCCTTCCCACAGTGTTATGGGACTGGGGTCAAGCATGCACACATAAACAACACAACTCAGCCCCTCTGCAGAGAGGTGAGCGAGTGTCTGATATTATCTGCCATGAAACTCAAACGAGAGAGTTCCTGCCACTGAATTGCAGTCATACCCAATGTCCTGAACGGGCCAAAATGAAGTGTAACGGACAAGGCTGCTCAATAGTGACTGCAGTGGGCCATCTGGTGGTCAAAACCGGAACTAAAGATCCTGTTGGGATTATTCACATCCTGATTGCACAACTAAAGTACAACCAATCCACCTCAGCCACATGGGTTGTATGTAATCAAACACAGATTAAGCTAAATCAATATTGACAAATGATTGAGAAAATCGATTAAAAGGGGTAAATATGTTCATATTGACCAAACAGCTCTATTCCAGATAAATATCTTCCAATGTTTGATAATCAGTTTGCAAAATATATACGTGGCAAAGCCTCTGTTCAATAATGGAGTGAGTGACACCTTTGCCTACATCTGCTGTGCCCTGATCCACATAAAGGCTTGTATAGCAGTGTGCCAAATCAGGACACTCTTTGTATAGAGCAGCTCAAGCCACAGCAAGTGATACACTTTGTCAGTAACTGGTTAGTCCACATGAGTTCTATTTTCCAACGCGGTGCAGTTGACATGCCTGTCAACAACCACAAACTGACAGAATAATGTACAGGTGCCTATATATATATATATATCTCATGGAACGGTTTACATATGTAGACCAACTAGGCAATGCAGTCTAGACTCGTCTACACATGCATTCTAATATCAACAGTTAGTTCTGGGGCAGTGATGTAGTGGTTCAAGTGTGTAAATGCCATCTCACAAATAGAAAGTTGCGAAAAAAGGTGTTTATCCTGCTCTACAGCCCTGGTCTGGGTGCAGCAACAGTCTCACACCTACTACAGTCCACGTAATCAAATAAAAGCAGACGGTATGTGGGCCTACATTCCTAGGAAGCGCATAACCAAAGTGGGCCCAGCCAGAATCACTCATTATGTTCTTTAGTCTATCATCCATGATCTCCCATACTGACTAGGCTATAGTTAAGTCCACATGGATGTCAGCAGCCCAGCCACATAACCTAAAGCCTGTACTGTAGCATCCAGCCAGGGATGCCGGCCCTGTACAGTCTCATGCGGACTGTTCAAACAAGCGTGTTCAACAAAAGGTGCCCTTTGTGTTCCTACTGGGCCCACACCCAGATGAAAAGGACAGAGCAAGGCACCTTCGCCTGTTTGTTCTCCACACAGTATTAGTTCATTGTGTGTTAGCCAGTGCCGGTGTGTGTAGCCCAATGTGCGCATACACACACGGACAAAGCGTCGATGAGGTGACGCCATTCATTCCTATGTATAGACTCAATAGCGCATTGAAGCCAATTGAAATCTGTTTAGATGGCATCTCATGGAGACATAACGTGCAAAGTTTGAGCTACTCCAGGAAGTGATGCTGCCCCTCTCATTGAGTAAGTCAAGTTGAAGACCGACCGGGGTACTGCAGGCTGCCATTAGCAACTAAATTATCCTTATATTAATATAAATAAATTACTGGTAGCATGATTGTCTTCCCAAAATGTTTTTACACAAATATTGCCATTTTTCCACATTCACTAGATTGCCTGCAGTACCACGGTCGGCCTTGAACTTCCGTGGCTTCAATGAGAGGGGGCAGTCTTCTTCCCTGGTTTGGCCATATGTTAATGGTGAAATTTAAGATGACTAAAGTTCATATTTAGTTTAGTGTGATTAACACAATGTTTAGCATATTTCTGTAATACACATTTCCAGTGTTCTAGTTGTGACACTCAAGGTGGGGGTTGATGGTCACTAGACTTGTTATGGATTATGCTCATATCTGTTGATAGTGATTGACGCCAGACTGGAGGTACAAGGACATTGTATTGATGACCTTCTGTGGACACTGATTCTGTAGCAGCTGACAAAGCCACTGACTTTTTGAACTGCGAGCCTCTCGGGCTGGTGTTTACAGAACATTTGGTGCCATCTGATTAGAATATGAAGGGCCTGTTTCCAAGAGGCCAGTCAGACATTCTCTGCTCTGTGCTGAAGGCGTCTCCCTGTTACAACTTGGAATAAACCTGATTGATTTGATTAACTTAACCGACGACTGCTCATTTTTGTTCAGCTAGATATTCCCATTATACCAAACTTCACTCAGTACCTGAAATGTACTGCTACACAACTCTACACTAGCTAATTACAGTATACTGTACAGTAATAAAACCTATATAACAGTCTTGACAAGAACCAGACCACTGCCAACATGTCCCTATCCCAATAGCATCGGCTATCAGTCATGCATCTCCAGTAATTAATATATCTGTAGCTGCATTCTACTTTAGGGTTAGGAGGACTAGGCGATCTGATACGTTCCTTTATACAATGAATCCAAACAACTCCATGCAAATGAAACCCCAAAAGGTTTCCCCTCAGCCTGAGAACCTTGGGTTGACCTCGCCTCCTATCCTCCATTCCTCATTTGTTCTGCTATGACTGGTTTCTAATCTGCTCTGATATAAACTAAAGCCATAATGCAGGTCAATTGGATTTGTGTTGTTGCATGTGTTATTATGGCTGGCTGGACTTCTGGATTCTAAGCTGATGTTCTATCGTGGGGCTCCCATTGGCACAGAGGTCTCGCAGACTGCCCCTCATGTTATTACATCGTCGCCTGACCTTAAGAGTTCCATCAATGCATACTAACCAGTGTTACAGGGATTCCCATCACTTCGCATAGCATTGGCAAGACTATGACATACACTGAACCAAAATATAAAAATGCAACAATTTCAAAGATTT